AAAAAAAAAAATGTAAATATGAAAAGTAAGGCCTGGAAGAATACAATGAAACTAAGCTGTGTTTAGTAAGCCTACTGAAAGATATCCTCAGATTGTCTCTGTTCTCAGGGGGAGCTTGATTTACAAACATCATGGTTTAAAGTTAGCATAGAAGTGTGCCCATCCCTATTTAATTGCCACTTAGAAGGAAATTTTTTCCCATCAGTCCTCCTAAAGAGGACCACAGTGAGGCATTCTTATAGATCACTCTTCAGTTGTTTGGTTAAATCCAATGGTGTGTTTTAGAGTAGCTAAAAAACATAATCAGCTGTATCTCTTTAGGCAATTCTTTTTAAGTAATTTGGTAATTGAGTTTTAATGTACTGTGTGTGTTTATACATTCTTGGAGTTTATCTTATTTGCTACTGCAGCTTTGGTTCCTAGAGTACTACTAAATACATAGAAGAAACAAAATAATTTTTTGTTGTTTAATTGGATAAATGTTAACTCTTTGAAATATCCTATTTTAAGTAAAATACTTTGTGTCAGCTCTCTGTCTTCTTTTCACTCCTTTCTGAATGAAGTGTGCTACTATACTTTGGAGTACATCATCTTTATTTGGACTCCTATATTCATAGTTTTTCCCCATGCCATAACAAAATAACTGAGGCTGGTTACTTTATAAAGAAATATATTTAGTTCAGAGTGTTGGGGCCTATCTGTTCAGCATCTACTGAGAACCCTTCCCCCTTGTCTGCATCATCAATGAAAGGGGAGCAGAAAGGAAACAGTGACATGCAGTGGGATACTTGGGGAGACGAAAAGCCAGAGCGATCAGGCTCCATCTAGCTTTTTATGTAGCTGTCCATTCTCTTGGGATAACTAACTTCATGAGACCAGCATTAATCCCTTCTGTAGGCAATGCCTAATTACTTTGAGCTGGCCCCCACCACTTCACGATTCCATAGGGTGCTAGCTCTGTGGCACAGCAGGTTAGCCACCAGCTGCAATGCTGGCATCCCATATAAATGCCAGTTGGAGTCCCAGCTGCTCCACTTCTGATCCAGATCCCTGCGAGTGTGGCTGGGAAAGCAGTGGAGACTCAGAGAAGCTCCTGGAGCTTCTGTCTGGCCCAGCCCCAGCCATTGTAGCCATTTGATGAGTGAACCAGAGGATAGACAATTTCCCTCCCTCTCTCTCCTTATCTCTCCGTAACTGCCTTTCAAATTAAAAAAAAAAAAATTAACAGATTTATTATTTAGTTGGAAGCTGGAGTTACAGAAAGGCAAAGAGACAGAGAGACAAAGAGACAGAGGTCTTCCATCCGCTGGTTCACCACCAAATGGCCACAGCAGCTGGAACTGGGTCGATCTGAAGCCAGGAACCTGGAGCTTGTTCCGGGTCTCCAATGTTGGGGTAGAGGCCCAAGGACTTTGGCCATCTTCCACTGCTTTTCAAGGCACATTAGCAGAGAGCTGGATCACAAGTGGAGCCAGCTGGGACTTGAACTGGCACCTAGATGGGATGCCAACGCTGCAGGCAGTGGCTTTACATACTATGCCACAGTGCCAGCCCCTAAAAAAATACTTAATGAAGGATAAAAAAAATTCCATCGCCTCTCAAAATTGCCAAACTACGGATCAACCTTCTAACACATGAATGGTGAGAGAAACTACATCCAGACCATTGCAAACCTGGAACTCATTGTGTTAACCATTACTTATATGACTTTTTACAGCGGTAATGAAATAAGTATTAACCGTCTCCAGAATTCTCTTAATATTTTCCTCAATAACATCTTCTTGCTTGGTTTTTAGGAATTTAAGATTTTAAGGTCCCTTAAAAGAAGTTGTAAATCTCAGTACAAGCAATTTATGATGCAGAAGTAACATTTCTTCTCAGAGGTATTAAAATCATACCAGATGGATTGATTTTGAAAAATAATGTATAGGGTTTTCATCATGCTATCTCAACATCTTTAAGCTTTTAACTTATATTCTAGTAACTCACTCCCAAATTTAGGAATTTAAAAACTTACTTTTTGCCGGCAAACAATGTGACATAACTGGCAAAGCCACTGCCTGTAACACTGGCATCCTATATGGGCACCAGTTCGTGTCCTGGCTGTTCCACTTCTGATCCAGCTCCCTGCTAATGGCCTGGACAAGCAGCAGAAGATGACACAAGTACTTGGGGCCCTGCTACCCAGATAGAGACACAGAAGAAGCTTCTTACTCTTGCCTTGCTCAGTCCTGGCTATTATGGCCATTTGGGAAGTAAACCAGCTGATAGAAGACCTGTCTGTGTCTCCCTCTCTCTGTAACTCCAGTTCTGATATATTTGTCTTTTTTAATTTCCTTTTTTGCTGCCTGCTGGTCTCCTATATTTAAAAAAAAAAAAAAAGATTTATCAATTTATTTGAAAGCAGAGTTACAGAGAGAGAGAAGGAGAGACAGTGACAAAGCAAGAGAGAGATCTTCCAACCACTGATTCATTCCCTGAAATGGTTGCAATGACCAGAGTTGAGCCAGGCTGAAACCATGAGCCGGGAGCTTCTTCCAGGTCTCCCACATGGGTACAGGGGCCCAAGCACTTGAGCCATCTTCTGCTGCTTTCCCAGGCACATTAGCAGGGAGCTGGATCAGAAGTAGAACAGCCAGGACACGAACTGGTGCCCATATGGGATGCACATTAGCAGGGAGCTGGATCAAAAGTGGATCAGCCAAGAAGTGAACCAGCACCCGTATGGGATGCCAGTGCTGTAGGCCATGGGCCACAGCACCACAGAGCCAACTCCCGGTCCCGAATATTTAAAGCAGGTTTTATTGAGACGCATTCTTTGCTAATTTTCCTTTAAATTTCTGCCATTTATAAATATTGCATTATACTGGACTAAAGTAGACCAGTAAATTGCATCAATTCTGGTAATGCTGAATTCTGCATGATATTAAATGATTAATTAACAATTTATTTGCACCTTTAACAGGTTTATTTACAACAACAATTAACATTTAATATATACTTGATATGTTTTAACTGAAGTGCCAAGTCCTCAACTTTTAACCAGAGTTGCATTTTTATTTAGGAATATCTTTCTCTATTTTTCTCCAAAATTTAGGGTTTTTTTTTGTCTTTCCTCTTATTTACTGGAATACTCACATTGCAAACTTTAGTCCTATATTTCTCACAATTATTGTTGCTTGATTCATTTGTAGAAATAGAACTTGAGAGTCATCACATCATGTATTTCCTTCCCAACTTTTAGCCTAAAACATGTCAACCATTTTATTACAGTATAACAAGATACCTCATTTTGTTGCACTTCAATTTATTATACTTTGCAAACACCAAGTTTTTCACACATTGAAGATTTATGGCAGCCCTACATAGAGCAAGTCTTTGTGTCTCTGTGTCATATTTTGGTAATTCTTGCAATTATTCAGACTTTTTCATTATTATTATATTTGTTGATCAATAAGCAGCTATCAATATAGAAGCAGGCCCATCCACCAAGAGAAGATTATGGCCAGCTGAAGGCTTACATGATTGAAGCATTTGTTTGGCAATAAAATATTTTTAAATATGTCCATTGATTTTTTTTGTTAGATATAATTGCATAGTTAATAAACTACACAGAGTGGCTGGTGCCGTGGCTCAATAGGCTAATCCTCTGCCTGCGGCACCGGCACACAGGGTTCTGGTCCCAGTTGGGGTGTCGGATTCTGTCCCAGTCACTCCTCTTCCTGTCCAGCTCTCTGCTGTGGCCCGGGAGTGCAGTGGAGGATGGCCCAAGTCCTTGGGCTCTGCACCTGCATGGAAGACCAGGAGGAAGCACCTGGCTCCTGGCTTTGGATCGGCGCAGCGTGCCTGCCGTAGCAGCCATTTGGGGGGTGAACCAATGGAAAAAGGAAGACCTTTCTCTCTCTCTCTCTCTCTCACTGTCCACTCTGCCTGTCAAAAAAATAAATAAATAAATAAACTATACATAGTGTAAGCCTAATTTTTATGTGCACTGGGACACCCAAAAAATTCATGTGACTTACTTTTATATACTTGTTTTATTATCATGGTCTAGAACTGAACTCAGAGTATCTCGAGGATTTGCTTATAATACGTATTTTGATTGACCCTCTGACAATGAAATTTTCCTGTCTTCTGCATTAAATCTTCTTTTAAAAATCAGTTTATATTGAGATATGAAAAATGTAAATGCTAAGCTGTTTTTCTAGCTAGTACATGGGAAAAGTTGACTTGATGACTTCTTGAGTTCCTTTTATTCATGTTACAAAAGCATAGAGCTAGGAGGAATTAGATGATCTCACATTTTCAGGGATTAATTCCAAGAGTAGGAGGCAAGGGCAGGTGTTTGGCCTGTAGGATTCCTAAACACCATACCCAGGTGTAAGTCTTAAATCTGCTCCCAGTTCAGCTTCCTGCTAATGTGTACCTTGGGAGACAGCAAGTGATGACTCAAGTAGTTGGATCCTTGCTATCCACCATGGAAGACACAGATTGAGTTTCTACCTCCTGGTTTAGGCTTGGCCCAACCCTTGCTATTGCAGGCATTTAGGTAGTGAACCAGCAGAAAGGAGATGCCTTTCTAATACACTCTCTTTCTCCCTACATTTGAAATAAACAAAATAACTTTTACTGGAAAATAACAGGAAAAAAAAAGAGTGTTGGGGAGTACATGGGACTAGGGCAGATTTCTTGCCCTGTGAGCTATTATAGCAGTCAGGCTTTATTTTTGTTGTTTAAGTTATTAGGCAAGATGAGATTTCATCAAATATTTCTGATCTTGTAACTACTTGCTAATAGAAAACTCGTCTGGATTTTCTTGGTCTTTGGGTTTTACTCAAAAATCCTGAACAACTGACTCTGGATAAAAAGATAAATGTCTGGGAACTACAAAGGATGACTTCTGCAAACCCTGGTTTATAATTATTTTTAAATAATTTTACTACTCTGCCTTTCTTTTTTGGCAAATTTCACTTAGTCTGCTATTTAATCTTTAATTACAGGCTACAAAAGAAGTGATAGAACGGGAAGCACCAGGGATGGCCCTGGCAATGCTGATGGGATCACTTAATGTTACACCTCTGGGCATGCTCTCTAGGTAAGAAAGTCACCAACATCTTGCAAAGAAAGTTAATGCCATACCACTAATCAGTACAATATACTGATAAGCCTAAGAAACTTAGGCACAACACTTAAATTTGCCCTCAGGTTTTTTCAAGACTTGAAAGAATTTTAATATCCTACCTATATCTTGGCCACAGTTTCAAATTCTCTTGGTGATATGATGATAATGATGATGATGATAAACTTAGAGAATGTAAAAAATTGATCCTAATCAAGAGCAGCGTCCAGTCTTTAAAAATGTGAAGTTATTTTTGTAATTGTTTCTAATCATCATTTGATATTCATTAATTACAGTGAAATGATAATTTAATAAAACAATAAAGCTTATTTTCTTGTTTATTTTGTTTATTTTAAATAAAGTTAGTAAGATAGCTTGTTCTCAGAAGTCAGGAATTTTTATTTCAGTTTGTAGATAGGTTTGTTAATATATAATCATAGAAAAAGCTCAATTCATGTTAACTCTTGGCAACTTGGTATAGCTGAATTATTATATAAAATTAATGGATTAATATATTCAAAACTATGCCTTGGCCGGCGCCGCGGCTCACTAGGCTAATCCTCCGCCTAGCGGCGCCGGCACACCGGGTTCTAGTCCCGGTCGGGGCGCCGGATTCTGTCCCAGTTGCCCCTCTTCCAGGCCAGCCCTCTGCTGTGGCCCGGGAGTGCAGTGGAGGATGGCCCAGGTGCTTGGGCCCTGCACCCCATGGGAGACCAGGAGAAGCACCTGGCTCCTGGCTCCTGGCTTCGGATCAGCGCTGTGCGCCAGCTGTAGCGCGCTGGCCACGGCGGCCATTGGAGGGTGAACCAACGGCAAAGGAAGACCTTTCTCTCTGTCTCTCTCTCTCACTGTCCACTCTGCCTGTCAAAAAAAAAAAAAAAAAAAAAAAACTATGCCTTTATTGATATGGATATTCATGTTCATCCTTAATCTGTTTTATTGTTACTGTTTTGCTAATTCTTAGATTAAAATCATGTAAATTAGGTCAGGATACATCATTTAAGTTAAAAATAGAAGTGTCAGGTTAGAATCTATTGATTTCCTGACTCTTGATTTAATAGTGGATCTCAGAGCAACCTAAAAACACACAGCATCTTTAAACTTGGTGGATTTCAAAATCACTCATAGTGATTGCATGTTGTGCACAATATGAACATAAAAGTAAATATGATTTCCATTTAATTATATGGAATATGAGTTATAATGTTCTTTCTGTTGCTTAAACTAACTTAATACCCTATCAATGGCAGCCACTTGAAGCACAGCTACAGGATAATGTGTGTGGATGATTTAATACTCTCTTGGCTGGTATATGGGCCATATTATAAAATTTAATTTTACAAGAGCAAATAAGGAATTAAAGTAGCCTAGTGGAGATTTTAAATTTAAAAGTCCATGCTGGTCTTTGAGTAATTCAAGTTGATTATTTTGTATTGTTCTTTTTTAAACCCTCACTGATGCTACCTACACATGTAATTTCATAGGTCACATTAGATACTTTTTTCCTTATGAAGTTAAATAGTGGTTTTTGAACATAAAAATACTCTTTCTGGTATACACAAATAAAGTCAAAAAGAAATTAAACTTCATTTTGTTAATACTTCCATAATGATGTTTTAATTCAATTAACATAATTATATACTTATTATCAATCCCCATTTTAAGTCTTAGGGATTCTTAGAAAGAGGAATAAGACATGGTTATCACCCTAAGGATCTCAGTTTAACTAGAGAATTACCTTTGCAACTGTTAAGGTAACACTTTAAATTGAATTCTGTCTTCATCTAGTGTCTAACATTGGTTTTTGCCTTACGAGATGGTTTCTCTGGATTAATTCCAGGTTTTCTTTCTGTATATCCATAATTACTGAGCACTGGACTGCTGAATAAATAGAAAATTAAATAGCAAGTGCTCATCAAGAACTTCATAATTAGTCTATCATCTTTTTTATTTTAAAGATTTTATTTATTTCTTTGACACAGACAGTGAGATAGAAACAGAGAGAAAGGTCCTCCACCCTCTGGTTCACTCCCCAAATGACCGCAAAGGCTGGTGCTGCACCATTCCATAGCTAGGAGCCAGGTGCCTCCTCCCAGTCCCCCATATGGGTTCAGGGGCCCAAGGACCTGGGCCATCCTCCACTGCTTTCCTAGGCCACAGCAGAGAGCTGAATTGGAAGAGGGGCAGCCAGGGCTAGAACCGGCGCCCATATGGGATGCCAGCGGCGCCGGCCCCAGTCTATCTTCTTTATCCTGAAGGCTTGGAAAATTGATAACTGCACCCAGTATGGTATTACCTTCTTCTGGTTTTTCATTCTGTTCATTGTTGATATAATTGTGATTTTTTTTTACAAGTTTTGAAATAGAAATAGTAGCCCACAATAATTACAGAAAAGGGAACTATGGAATATTTCCCTGGATGCTCATATTTTTGTGCTTCTCAAAACCTTTTGAAAATTATTTCAGTAACAGTCATGACTAGATTTATGATTCCTTTCTACAGTTTTGCATTTTGTATGCCCTTTTGGTTTAGTACATGCTTCCATTATGAAATGTGTCATTCCATATTATATAAATTGTTTTTTAAAAAATCCTGAAGAACAGGAGCTTTATCTTACTCATTTTTATATCCTCAGCTCCCAAATCAACTTTTGGCACATAGTAGGTACTCAAACTTTTATTGTTGTGTCTAATCTTGGTTAATCAGTGTTGCACCCTGGTTCTTTCTTATTTTTTTAAGATTTATTTATTTATTTGAAAAGCACAGTTCCAGAGAGAGAGGAAAAGGCAGAGGCAGAGGCAGAGGCAGAGGCAGAGGCAGAGGCAGAGGCAGAGGCAGAGGCAGAGGCAGAGGTAGAGGTAGAGGTAAAGGTAGGGAGAGAAAGAGAATCTTCCATCTACTGATTCCAGGAATCTCATCTGGGTCTCCCACAAGGATGCAATGGCTCAAGTACTTCGGCCATCCTCTGCTGCTTTCCCAGGCGCACCACCAGGGAGCTGGATTGGAAGCGGAGCAGCCGAGACTCAAACCGGCACCCATATGGGATGCCAGTGCTGCTACCAGTGGCTTAACCCACTACTCCACCACCAACCCCACACCCTAGTTCTAATAGCAATTTTTTTTTTACAAGTAAGGTAAAACATAAAGTTTATGCCTTTCCTTCCTGTTTCTATCTCTAGAGAGCAGCATTCAATAAAACATATTTTAAATCATTGCATCTGTTTCAAATGCTTTTTATCTACTTGAATAACTTAATACCTTCCAGGGTTGCTTTTGTTTTGTTGCTTTTTGTACAAGTAGGTTAGAAAGCATGAAGTGATGATTAAGAGCATCATCTCTGAAGCCAGATTGGGTTCTCCTCTGGTTCACTCATTTACTAGCTACTTAATAGTGTTTTTGTCCTCTCAGCTATATAAAAATGATGTTAATAGTACCAAATTTCTTGTATCAAATGATTTACTCCATGTAAAGTGCTAATAACAAGAGATTTATATTAAATCTTAAGTATTGATCATTGTTGTATTGCATTGTTAATATTTGAGAATTATAACTAGTTAAAATAAAACTCTCTCTTGGGGGCTGGTGCTGTGGCTCACTTGGTTAGTCCTCTGCCTGTGGCGCCGGCATCCCATATGGGCGCCAGGTTCTAGTCCCAGTTGCTTCTCTTCCAGTCCAGCTCTCTGCTGTGGCCCAGGTGTTTGGGCCCCTGCACCGCCATGGGAGACCAGGAGGAAGCACCTGGCTCTTGGCTTTGGATCGGCGGCAGCGCGCCAGCCGTAGCAGCCATTTGGGGGTGAACCAACGGAAGGGAGACCTTTCTGTCTATCTGTCTCTCTCGCGCGGTTTAACTCTGCTGTCAAATAAAAACAAGCAAACAAAAAAACTCTCTCTGAGCTTTCCTTCATCTGAAAATGACTTTACTTCACCTTTATTCCTGAGGGATATTTTCATTACATTCAGAATTCTGAGTTGACACCCATTTTTTTTAAGAACTAGCTTAATTCCACCACTGTTTTCTGGCTCCATGGTTCCTGAATGGAAATTCAGTCATTCAGATTGCTGCTATTCCCTTATGTGTGATTTTTCTCTAGCTGCTTTCAAGATTTTTTTTTAAAGATTTATTTATTTACCTGAAAGTCAGAGTTACACAGAGAGAGGAGAAGCAGAGAAAGAAAAAGAGTCAGTCTTCCATCCACTGGTTCACTCCCCAATTGCCCACAATGGCCGGAGCTGAGCAGATCTGAAGCAGGGAGCCAGGAGCTTCTTCCAGATCTCCGACATGGGTGCAGGGGCTTAAGGACTTGGGCCATCTTCTACTGCTTTCCCAGGCCACAGCAGAGAGCTGGATCATAAATGGAGCAGCCGAAACTTGAACCTGAGCCTATATGGGATGCCAGCACGACAGGCGGTGGCTTTACCTACTATGCCACAGTGCCAGCCCCATGAAGATATTTGTCTTTATCTTTTGTTTCACCAAGTTACGATATGTCTGGGTGTGGTTTTCTTTAAGGTTATCCCTTTGAATTTACTGAACTTCTTGAATCTGTAAGTTTATAACAAAATTTGGAGATATTTTATCTATTACTTTAAAAAATTTTTTTCTGCACCCAATCTTTTTTTCTGCACAATTGTGTTGTTATCTCTCTCTTTCTTTCTCTCTCTCTGTCTCTCTCTCTGTGTGTGTATGTGTGTGTGTGAATGTGCCTTTCAAATAAGCCAAATAAAATAAGCTTAAATAAATAATAAATAAAAATAAACATGACCACATTAAGCATTCTCAGGATAGGTAGCAACAGCGCTAGTGGAAATAAAAATTGATGCAAATGCTATAAAACTCTACATTTGGTTCTGTACTGAAAAATTGATGCAAATGCTATAGAACTCTACATTTGGTTCTGTACTGTAAAAAAGTAGCATTCAAACTTTCTGACCATAAGCCATAGCAAGATATATGCTTCATATTATAATCCAGAGCACATGCACATACACACACAAGTGTCTCTGAACAGGAGTATATTAAGTGAATATGAATATATTTTAACATATGTATACACATATATATATTAAAAGCACAAAAGTTTAATGAAACAATATTTATCCTAACTACAAGGAAAACATTCTGATGTTTTTGTTCTTTTTGTTTAAAATGCTAGTTATGACAAAATCAGTCAACTGCCTGTTGTGCTCAGTTTTACACTGCTATAACAAAATACCTAAGACAGGGTATTCATATAGAACAGAGATTTATTTCATACAGTGTGGAGGCTGGGAAGTCTTACTTGAGAAGCTTGTATCTAGCAAGGGTCTTCTTGTTGCATCATTCCCATAGCAGAAGGTCAGGAGAGCTTGCGTGGGAGACAGTCAGATTGAACGCAAAGCCTTGACACCTTTGACAACCCACATTAGTCCAAGCAGTGAGGACTGAGCCCTTGTTACTCGACACCTGCCATTAGATTTCACCCCTAATACTGTTGCATGGTGAATTAAGTTTCCATTGCATGAGTAACTTTAACTCTCATCTTTATATCACACGGGCAGAGTTAGTGAGAGAGAGAGACAGAGAGAAAGGTCTTCCTTTTTCCATTGGTTCACCCCCCAAATGGCCACTACGGCTGGCTCACTGTGCCAATCCAGAGCCAGGAGCCAGGTACTTTCTCCTGGTCTCCCATGCGGGTGCAGGGCCCAAGCACTTGGGCCATCCTCCACTGCCTTCCCAGGCCACAGCAGAGAGCTGGCCTGGAAGAGGAGCAACCAGGGCAGAATCCGGCTCCCCGACCGGGACTAGAACCCAGGGTGCCAGTGCTGCAGGCAGAGGATTAGCCTAGTGAGCTGCAGCGCCTGCCACCATTGCATGATTTTTGAGGGACATATCCAAGCCATAGCATGCACTATTAATTGGTTATGAACTGCAATTTTCAGAACACTACCCTAAAGAAAACCTTGCACATAAATACCAGGATAGAGATAAAGGAATATAATGGCAACAAACAGACACAAAAAATGTCTGTCAAGAAAATGTATAAATTGTGGTAGAGTCATTCTGTAGAATATTATACAGCAGTGAAAATGAACCACTGTTTTGTACATCAGCATGAGGGAATCTCAAACACAATGTTGAACGAGAAAACCAAATCATATAAGAATATATACACCTAAATAATATATATGAAATGCATGAAGTTTGTATACCTTAAATAAAAGGTTTCTAGAGGGAAAAAGCTATATAAATACATCACAGATGCAAAAGAAAAAAAACAAATTGAATTAAAAAGTCCACAAATCTGCACTGATACAATAAATAGAGCCATAGCTGCTAATCAACATAACCAAAAGGAAAAACTTGAAAATCATAATTTGACGGCCGGCACCGCGGCTCACTTGGCTAATCCTCTGCCTGCGGTGCCAGCACCCCAGGTTCTAGTCCTGGTTGGGGCACCGGATTTTGTCCCGGTTGCTCCTCTTCCAGTCCAGCTCTCTGCTGTGGCCTGGGAAGGCAGTGGAGGATGGCCCAAGTGCTTGGGCCCTGCACCCGCATGGGAGACCAGGAGGAAGCACCTGGCTCCTGGCTTTGGATTGGCACAGTGTGCCGGCTGTAGCAGCCATTTGGGGGGTGAAACAACAGAAAAGGAAGACCTTTCTCTCTGTCTCTGTCTCTCTCTCTCTCTCTCTATCTCACTAACTCTGCCTGTCAAAAAAAAATCATAATTTTAAAATTGTAAGTTTAATCATAATTAAATGGGAGCCTCATATATGAAGTTTAAGATTATCAATAGAAAGTGTTTTGAAGAATAAGTCATTTTGTGTAGTCAATTTATGACCTCGTGTATTAATTATTAATTAAACATTTAAAAATAAACATTTACTATAAAAATATATATACAATATGACTTCATTTATGTAAATTTCAAAAACATGCTAAACTGAACAGTAACTTTAGATAAGTGTGTGTAGAAATGATTTTTTCTTTTTTAAATTTTGTGTAAGGTAAAGTTTCATGTATTTCATCTATATAGATTTAGGAACATAGTAACACTTCCCACGCCACCCTCCCTCCTGCCCATACTCCAACTTTTCTTCTTCCTCCCTCTCCTATTCCCACTCTTAATTTTTATAAATATCTATTTTCTGTTTACTTAATACTTGTAAGGTTAATCCTACACTAAATAAAGAGTTCAACAAATAGTATGAAGAAAAAACACTATTCCTCAACAGAAGAGACAAGGGCTGTAAACAATCATCGAATCTCAAAATGTCCATTTCACTCAATACATTACATTTTAAGTACTCTACTAGTTACCCTAGATAAGGGGAAACATATGATATCTGTCTTTTTAGGAAAGTATTTTTAAAAGTAAGCAAATGATTGATATTTGTGCCACATGGATGAACATTGAAAGCATTATGGTAATAAAAGATGCTAGTTACAAAAGATCACATATTATACATGAAATGTCTATAATAGCCAAACCTAGAGAAACAGAAAGTAGATTTGTGGCTGCCTAGAGATAAGTATTTGGTAAAATATGGAGTGATTAATATTGGGTATGGATTTCTTGCAAGGGGTTATGAAATGTTCTAAAAATAATTGTGTTAATGGTTGCACATCTCTGTATTTAGTTTAAAAACCATTGAATTGTATACTTCAAGTGTGTAAATGGAATGATATATGAATTGTATCTTGATAAGGCTGTTGAAAACAAAAGAATGATAATTTTGCAATCCTGGATAATAATTACCTGGGGAAGAAGGGCAAGACACAGAGCTATATTTAGATATGTTTCTTTATGAGGATACCAGAAGTACTCCTTTTTTTCACCTAGATAAGATGTATATCAGTTTGAGTTTTTGCTGTTACTGTCTGTATTTTCTATGCATGTTTTAAATTTTTGAGTACTTAATTAAAATTTCTGAGGAAAGCAGTATTTTTCATTTTCTTCTATACCTTCTCTGTTGTGATCGAGTTGAATATAGAACATTAACCTTCTATATATGTAAATTGGGACCAGTTTTCATCAAAATACATACTATTTAAAAACTATTATTTAGGCCGGCACTGCAGCTCACTAGGCTAATCCTCCGACTGCGGCGCCGGCACCCCAGGTTCTAGTCCCGGTTGGGCCACCAGATTCTGTCCCGGTTGCTCCTCTTCCAGTCCAGCTCTCTGCTGTGGCTCAGGAAGGCAGTGGAGGATGGCCCAGGTGCTTGGGCCCTGCACCCGCATGGGAGACCAGGAGAGGCACCTGGCTCCTGGCTTCGGATCAGTGCAGTGCACCAGCCATGGCGGCCATTGGGGGGTGAACCAATGGAAGGAAGACCTTTCTCTTTGTCTCTCTCTCTTACTGTCCACTCTGCCTGTCAAAAAAAAAAAAACTATTATTTATATATTACAACTTCCAAAAGTATTTTGGAATAAAGTAACAGTCACATTATATTCTTGGACTATCAGAATACACTGAACTATAAGCAGTCTACTATTCATCATCAACTTTGCAACCACACTGATTCATCCCTGGTATTATTTCAAAATTTTCCTAACTGTCTTCAGTCAACTTTCTTCTTTGTGGTAAAAAAAAATACAAATATCAACACGTTATTCCTTTGATCAAAACTCTTCAATGGCATCTCATTTTCCATTGAGGATAAAGTTTAAGGACAGGCCGGCGCCGCGGCTCACTAGGCGCTGTGGCTCACTGGCTCACTTGGCTAATCCTCCGCCTTGTGGCGCCGGCACACTGGGTTCTAGTCCCGGTCGGAGCACCGGATTCTGTCCCGGTTGCCCCTCTTCCAGGCCAGCTCTCTGCTGTGGCCAGGGAGTGCAGTGCAGGATGGCCCAAGTGCTTGGGCCCTGCACCCCATGGGAGACCAGGAGAAGCACCTGGCTCCTGGCTTCGGATCAGCGCTGTGCGCCAGCTGTAGCGCGCTGGCCACGGCGGCCATTGGAGGGTGAACCAACAGCAAAGGAAGACCTTTCTCTCTGTCTCTCTCTCTCACTGTCCACTCTGCCTTCAAAGAAAAAAAAAAGTTTAAGGACAAAGACTGAATTCATTTTTTTTTTAAGATTTATTCATTTATTTGAAAGGCAGAGATGGAGGAAGAGGGAGAGAGAAAGACATATTTTCCATCCAAAAATGGCCGCAGCTGCCAGGGCTGAGCTGGGCCAAAGCCAGGAGCCTGGAGTCTCCTCCAGTTCTCCCATGTGGGCACAAGGGCCCAGTGTCCAGGGCATCCTCTGCTGCTTTCCCAGGCGCATCAGTAGGGAGCTGGATCAGAAGTGGAGTAGTCTGTTATCGAACTGGCGCCCATATTGAATGCCAGCATTGTAGTCAGAGGTCTTACCTGCTAAACCACAATGCCCCAGGACTGAATTCTTTAAGATTGCTTTCCAGGCCTATATAATTTGTTTTTGCTCATCGTCTTTTAAGAACATATCCCACCTACCCTCATTGTTACCATACACATAAGATTCTCTTGCTAGCTTTTGAGTCCTCTGTACATGATATGTTCTTGCTACTCTCTTTACCTCTTAAACACATCCTATTTTTTTTCAGGTAGCGGATTAGATTTTCCTTCCTTTTGGAAGCCTTCTAAACTACCCCAGCCTTCCCCCATGTATGAATAAATGTTCTATTGTCCCCATTAATTTTTTGCTTAATGTACCTATAGCATTTACTCAACTATATTAACACTTATTAAGTTTTTCTGTAAACTTAACTGCACCAAGGCAAAATATTTCACTCACTGTTGTAGCCCCATTGCCTAGCCCTGCCTTGTCCTCTAAGTATTTAATATTTGTTGAATGAATGAATGAATGAATAAATGAATTCTGATGATCATGCTTCATATATATGAGGATTTTTAAAAATTTTTATTTATTTGAAAGACAAAGTTACAGAAGGGGGTGGGTGCAGAGGCCCAAGCACTTGGCCATTCTCTGCTGCTTTCCCAGGTGCTTTATCAGGGAGTTGGATTGGAACTGGAGCAGCCAGGACTGGAACCAGCACCCGTATAGGATACTGATATTGTAAGTAGTGGCTTAACTGGCTATGCCACAATTCCAGGCTCCAAAATATTTTTAAATTGCAAAAATAAGTTAAATTATCTTAAAATTAGTCTGCAATTAAGCTCAAATTTTTGTGTTCATATTTTATTTTTGTTTCCTGCCAGAGTTCCATTACATGAGTTTATTTTGAATTCATTAACAATTTAATCTAGTATTCCAGCTTATACATTAGCTTGGTTTACCTGCTTATAAAATATATTCTTGGGCCAGTGTGTGGCATATCATATAAAGCCTCCATCTGCAACTCCACCATTCTATCTGGGTGCCAGTTCATGTCCTGGCTCCTCCACTTCCCATGCAGCTCCCTGCTAATGACCTGAGAAAAGCCTGAAGAAAAGCGGAAGATGGCACAAGTGTTTGGCCCATGCCACCCATGAAGAAAACCCAGATGAAGTTCCTGGTTCCTGGCTTCGACCTGGCCTAGCCCTGGCTGTTGCAGCCATCATGGGAGTGAACCAGCAGATGGAAGATCTCATTCTCTCTGTCTCACTCTGACTTTCAAATACAAATAAATAATTATTTATATATGTATATATTTATGCACATATACATATTTATATTCATATATATGTATATATACATACACTTTCGGGGGCTGATGTTGTGACATACCAGCTTAAGCCATCTGCTGCAGTGCCAACATCTCATCTGAGCATCTGTTCTAGTCCCAGCTGCTCTGCTTCTTATCCAGCTCCCTGCTATTGCACCTGGGAAGGCAGCAGAAGATGGCCCAAGTACTTGGACCCTACCACCCAAATGGGAGACTTAGATGGAGTTCCAGGCTCCAGGCTTAGGCCTGGCCCACCTCTGGCCATTGTGACTTTTTGGAGAGTGAACCAATAGATGGAAGATCGATCCTCTCTCTCTCTCTCTCTCTCTCTCTCTCAACCTCTCCCTCTCCTTCTTCCCCTCCCGCTCCCCCCCCCCTCCCTGTCTCTATCTTCCCAGTAAATTTGCCTTTTGAATCAATAAGTAAATCATTTTAAAAAGAAAAATAAATAAAATATCTTCCCTTTAAAAAAACTGCTTTGCAGTACAATTTAGTTTTGAATATGCCTGGCTTCTTATGCTTCTTATGATGTGATAAAGCAGCTAAAAATTCTTTCAGGAGAAATACATAGGTGTAAGCCTGAGTTTGTCCTCAGAAATTAAAAAGGAAGGGATTAGCATTGTGGTATAGCAGGTAAAGCTGCCACCTGTGATGCCAACATTCCATATAGGCATCGGTTTGTATCCTGGCTGCCCAGCTTCCAGTCCAGCTCCCTGCTAATGGTGTAGGAAAATAGTGGAAGATGGCCCACGTTTTGGGGCCTCTGCACCCATGTGGGAGATCAAAGTTCACAAATGATGGAAATGTTACTGCTCCAGAGACCACACTTTAAAAATCACTTCAGATTGCAACTTTTCTCCACTGATAATTCTTATTTCACATTACTTCTCTCTATAAATGCAGTATACTCTCACAAGAGCTATATAAGTAAAATAGTCTGATTAACATAAACAGCATCAGGGCCAGTAGGGGTAAAATCATGCAGACTGTATGTAGAAAAGGAACTACATAAGGGGCCGGCGCTGTTGCGTACTAGGTTAATCCTCGGCCTGGAGTGCTGGCATCCCATATGGGCACAAGTTCTAGTCCCGGCTGCTCCTCTTCTGATTCAGCTCTCTGCTATGGCCTGGGAAGGCAGTGGAAGATGGCCCAAGTCCTTGGGCCCCTGCGCCTACATGGCAGACCTGGAGGAAACTCCTGGCTCCTGGCTTCAGATCTGCTCAGCTCCAGCCATCACAGCCATTTCGGGAGTGAACCAGTGGATGGAAGACCTCTCTCTCTGTCTCTCCTTCTTACTGTCTGTAACTCTTCCTCTCAAATAAATAAATAAATAATCTAAAAAAAAAAAAAAAAAGAAGAAGAAGAAAGAAAAGGAACTACATAAACACAAGGTAGGATAGACTTACCAAGATTCCAAAGGCATGTATCAAATTTTCTGTACCTCAAATTATTTTTCCATATATCCTTAAATGCATTTTTCTCTCCTTCACAGAAATGGTGAAAGCATACCATGCAATAATTGTTATGGGAATATTTCTAATTCTTATGAAGAAAGATACTACAAACTTCCTAAAGTTGTCAATAATATATTCTACTAGGCAATACTATGCTGTTAGTTAAAATTTCAGGTTTTACACATGAAATCGAGGATCTTAATGACATTCCAGCACAAGCTGGGTGAAGCAGCAGTTAAAGTGTTGCTTATGATGACCACATCAGATATTGGAGTGCCAGTTTGGGTTCCAGCTACTCTGCTCTTCCTATCCAGCTTCCTTCTAATGTGTCTGGAAAGGCAGTAGTTGATGGCCCAAGTACTTGGGTTCCTGGGTGTGAGATACCCAAATGGAGTTCCTGGCTCTTGTTTTTGTTGTTATTGTTGTTGTTATTCTTGTTGATTTTTGCCTTGCCCAACCCAGCTTTGCAGGCATTTGAGGAGTGAGACACCAGATGGAATAACTGTCTTTCTCTTTCTGTCAATCTGGCTTTCAAATAAATAAGTGAATAAATCTTTTTTAAAAATTGATGATATTCTAATAATATTTATGATGATACTAGAATCAATTAGCTGTCCATTTAATAAAAATTACAATATAGCACTTCATTTGGGAAAGCAAAGCAAAATTCCTAAGTAAATAGGAACATATCAAGAACTGTATAATTAGGGTCGGCGCTGCGGCTCAATAGGCTAATCCTCCACCTGCGGCGCTGGCACCCCAGGTTCTAGTCCCGGTTGGGGCGCCGGATTCTGTCCCGGTTGCTCCTCTTCCAGTCCAGCTCTCTGCTGTGGCCCGGGAAGGCAGTGGAGGATGGCCCAGGTCCTTGGGCCCTGCACCCACATGGGAGACCAGGAGGAAGCACCTGGGCAGCCGTAGTGGCCATCTCGGGGTGAACCAACAGAAAAAAGAAGACCTCTCTCTCTCTCCCTCTCTCTCACTGTCTAACTCTGCCTGTCAAAAAAAAAAAAAAAAAAGAATAAATTCTGTCTTAGGTTTTAGGAAAATATTTTTATGTGACTAAAAATCTTAGCTGAAAAATTTTTAATATAGCCTGAATAATCTCTGTTGTCAAACATGAGACTGAGATAATACAATCAATAAAAATCAATTAGTGATAGTATAATTCCCATTTTTTTATGAAAACCAGTACATTGACTATTAACTCCAGTCTTCGAGTGCTTTTCCACTCTTATTTTCCTTATTTAACCAATTAGCTTAAATGTGGCCTGGAAATTGTCAGTGACTCTGAAAGGCTTTTCTATGAAAGCGCCTATGATTATCAATGAACCTGTTAATGGTTGAGCTCTCCAACCTCTTTCCCACTGCCACTTATTTGTGTAAAACATTGTTTTCCTTTAAAACTTCCAGACTTCCTGAGAAGCAAGAACTTAAATCTAAATCTCTCTCACCTCTTAAGTACTTTTTTGAACATAAATATTACTGCACTTGGCAATTTTATGTACTATCTCATTGAATTTTTATAACTGTATGAGATATGATAAAGCTGAAGCTTTACATAAAAGGTAATTTGTTGGGCCCGGCGCTGTGGCAAAGCTGGTTAAAGCCCTGGCCGGAAGCACTGGCATCCCATATGGGCACTGGTTCTAGTCCCAGCTGCTCCTCTTATGATCCAGCTCTCTACTATGACCTGGGAAAGCAGTAGAAGATGGCCCGAGTCCTTGGGCCCCTGCACCTGCGTGGGAGACCCGGAGGAGGCTCCTGGCTCCTTGCTCCTGGCTCTTGGCTCCGGATTGGCGCAGCTCCGGCCATTGCAGCCATCTGGGGAGTGAACCAGCCGATGGACAACCTCTTTCTCTTCTCTGTCTCTACCTCTCTGTAACTCTTTCAAATAAATAAAATAAATCTTTTTAAATAAAAGGTAATTTGTTAATGGTATAATTGGTTTAAATAAGCTAATTTATTCTGATTCCATGTTAATTGCAGTTTTCCAAAACAGCATACTATTACTGTAAACGCATTGGCCAGAATACCCAATTTCTATAGCAGTTGCTAAATTAATTACTGTATGAATGTTATTCCTGAAAGTTGTTTACGTGTAAAATAAAATGATTACCCTTTGTTACTGAATCATTTAAACAAGTGTTCATTGCAAGTTAGTATTCATCTACTTTTTTTTCCTTTCAGGCCTGTATGTGGAATTAGAGGGAAAACTCTTATAATTAACCTACCTGGTAGCAAGAAAGGATCTCAGGTAAATAACCTTTACATTTATATGGTTTAATGTAAGGACTTGTAATCAGCTGTGAGAGTTAATCACCAAAAGAAGTTGGAGCCTTCCACAAGACTGTCCTCACTTCTAACACCAAATCCAAAAATGGGAATTCTCCAAATCACCTTTGGGTTCAGTAGTTTACTAGAAAGATTTAACTCACTGGAAGTTATTATTCTCACAATTGTAATTTATTACAGGGGAAATACATAGATTAAAATTAACCAAAAGACATACATAAGACAATCCAGGAAATATACCAGAAGTACAAATAAGTGTTATTACCTCACTGTGGAGTCATCAATGCATTATTATCTCCTAGTACTGTTATGTAACAATACATGTGGACCATTGCCCATCAGAGAAGTTCACCTGAGCTCTTCATTCCAGAGTGTTTTTGGAACTCATCACACATTGCCTATGTGGCTGGCCTTTTGTTTTCAGCTGTGCCCATAGTTGGCCTGATATATTTAACCCAGTTTTAGAGGCCAAACCAATACCAATAAAACCCAAAGTTCCCATCATAAATAACGTTTTTAGAAATTCTGGTGACTGCCGCCTCAAACCAAAGACATTCCTATCACACATGACATTCTAAGGACCTGGAGATCACCTCCCAGTAGCTGAAGACATCACTCTTCAGGTGATGCTAATTCTTCACTACATAGGGTATTCTCTGACCTTTGGCCAAGATTTTCTTACAGCTAAACAATCATATTATTTGGAAAACTATACTTATAATAGCATTTATATGACAGATACAATAATAGTATCAGTCTGCATATGGATAATATTTGGAGGAGGCAGTATGTGGTATAGATAAATTTAGGGAAACAGGTTTATATTCAAACAGGATAGGCCACATTCTTTCCAGGGGGTCACTTACAGGTTCTTGGTATAAGCCCCAGTCTTCACTATATGTACACCTAACGTTCAGCAACTTAACAACCTGTGTGAGCTCAAGGGATCTTATTAGTTCCTATTTAGCATGTCCAGTCAGAACAGTAAAGAGGTGATTTACATGTTCTCTGTTTTACAACATTAAATAGGGGAAGTGTTTCTCAGTCAAACATATTTTCCATCCCCATAATACATTCAAGTAAAAGGGACTCACCTACTTCACATAATGTTGTTTCTCTAGACGTTCTAATTTTCATCCAAGCTTTCACCTTAATTCCACCAAGTAATATTACTGTTTCCAGCTAATTAACTACCTCATTTGGGACTTCAACAGGCTTTTGAATTTAAAAAAAAATTTTTTTTTCTTCTCCACTCTCTGGCTATTTTTACCAAATTCATATGCATGTGGCCATGTAGCTCCAGCCCTAGTATAGGCTATGAAACAGACCTTTTTCCAGCCATTATCTTGACTAGGTTGTAGGACAATCACCTCATACAATTTAAGGTCATCCAAACTTCCAGGTTTTTTAATTCCTCCAAACTACAGTAAATAGAGAATATTTGTTTAGGATTCTTCAAGATTCAATGTTGGGGAACCAGCAGGGATTCCCATCTGTCCACCCGATCTACAATAGTGCCACAGTAAGATCTTTGTTTGTACCCATCAATGTTCACTTTTTTTTTTTTTTTTTTGACAGCCAGAGTTAGTGAGAGAGAGAGAGAGACAGAGAGAAAAGAGAGAAAGGTCTTCCTTTTTCCGTTGGTTCACCCCTCAAATGGCTGCCACAGCTATCGCGCTGCAGCCGTCGCACTGCGCTGATCTGAAGCCAGGAGCCAGGTGCTTCCTCCTGGTCTCCCATGCGGCTGCAGGGCCCAAGCAACTGGGACAGAATCCAGTGCCCCAACCGGGACTAGAACCCCAGGATGCCGGCACCACAGGCAGGCAGAGGATTAGCCAAGTGAGCCAGTGAGCCACAGCGCCGCCGGCCAATGTTCACTTTTTTATTCATCCATTCCTTAATCACCATTTAAATATTTGTACTCTGCTGAGAAAATTACTTCCCTTTCCTGTCCCCATTCCCTTTTGAGTCAGTCTAATTTGATTCACGATGTTGTTCCAACATAGCTTTTTTCTTTGGAAATGGTTCTAAGACTAGTGACTGTGTATCAGACCAACTAGAATTCAAACATAGCCTCATGATCTGCCCCCAGCATTGTCCCTTACCTTCCTTTTCAATAGTACAAATAACAATAACCACAGGATCCATATTTAGCTTATTTGTTATTTTTTTGCATTTCTTCATACATCTATTGAAATAACTCCTTGGGAAATGGATCCATCATTTACCAATTCTATTGGTAGCATTTGTCATCAGCAACTAATTGCAACACAACTCCAACTTCTTGTTGGAGTGTGACACTGTATTCATCTAGAAATCAAAGGCTCATCATCTTGTACTCTCTTCCTTCTTCCCAAGGCATGTATTTCAATGAGTCAAGGTCTTTCTGGCCAACTGAAAAACAAAAAAAAAATAGTCAACTACAGAGTTGGAGCACTCCAAAATAGTGTCCTCACTTTCGGCACCAGCTACAAATTCAGAAGATTCCTAAACCACCTCAGGCTTAATAATTCACTAGGACTCACAGAACTCAATGAAAGCTGTTATATCTACGATTATTGTTTATTACAGAGAAAATTTACAGATGAAAATCAGCCAAAGGAAAAAAGTGAATAGGACAGAGTCTAAAAGGGGTACCAAAGGAGGAGCTCCACTGTGCTTTCCACCTGGAGTCATGGACATGTTATCTTCCTGGCGTCTGTCTGTGACAGTGCACACAGAGTATTTCCACCTAAGAATGTTCAACTGAGGCTTTGGTATTGAATTTCTATTGAGTCTCAATCACATACTGCTAATATAGCTGATTCATCTTCCTGCTTTTCTTGGAGGTGAGGTTGATGCCTTTAGTGTCTGGTTCCTTCTGGAGGCAAAATGATGCCATATTGCCTATAGTCCTCAAAGTGAACCACATTGTTAGACTGTCTGGTGGCCAAAATCCCCAGGCAAATAAAGGCATTCCTGTCAGGCATATTCCAAGGGCTTAGAGATCACTTCCCCAGAGAGCAGACCTCTGTGGTCACGGTTTAATTCTTCACTGCACAGACTAAACACTAAACTGACTGAGCTGTACAAAATGGAGTCAAAAGGTTGGATCTCGATCATGGAATTCCAGTAACCCTCCAAAAAATTTTAAGATATTTCTTTACAGCTTTGATTTTAAGATTTACTTTAAATGTGAAAGAGGTGGTAGGCACTGTTACACAGAGGGTTGAAACACCTTCCTCCTGTATTGGGAGTTCTGACTCAAGTCCAGGCTACTGTATTTCTGATCCAACTTCCCCCTAATGCACCTGAGAGGCAGCAGATGATGGCCCAAGTTCTTGGGTTCCTGCCACCCATTTAGGAGTCCCAGACGAACTTCCTGGCTCCTGGCTTCAGCCTGGCACAGCCCTGGCTATGTTTGGGCATTTGTAGAGTTGAACCAGAAGATGGAAGATCTCTCTCTCTCTCTCTCTCTCTTTCTCTCTTTCTCTCTTTCTTTCTCTTTCCCTCCCACCCTCTCTCTCTGCTTTTCAAATAAATAATTCTTTTCTTTAAAAAAATGAAAGAGAAAAACTTATTGCCTATTCCCCAAATGTATCTGGCCCTGTTTCTGTTTTTTAAATTTTCACCTATTCTGTTCGGGTGATTTATTACAGAAAATAGTGGGCATCTGACCAGCAGATTACATTTACTTTTATTCAGAGCTCTTTATAAGCTTATTTTTATTTTATATCTTGTACCTAGCTATAACTTTATGATGATGATCAGAACTTCAGCTTGCTGAACAAAACAACCTGGTCCTCATATGACTTACTATTTCTAGTGTCCTGCTCTAACTAAAATTATGAAACTTAGGTTGGGTCTTTTTTTTTTTTTAAGATTTATTTACTTATTTGAAAGAGTTATACAGAGAGAGAAGGAGAGGCAGCGAGAGAGAGAGGTCTTCCATCTGCTGGTTCACTCCCCAGTTGGTCACAATGGCCGGAGCTGCGCTAATCCAAAGCCAGGAACCAGGAGCTTCCTCTGGGTCTTCCCATGGGGGTCAGGGGCCCAAGGACTTGGGCCATCTTCTACTGCTTTCCCAAGCCATAGCAGAGAGCTGGTTTGGAAGTGGAGCAGCCAGGACTTGAACCGGCACCCATATGGGATGCCGGCACTGCAGGTGGCAGCTTTGCCTGCTGTGCCACAGCGCTGGCCCCCTTAGGTTGGGTCTTTAGCCTAGCAGTTAAGACATCAGCATCCCACATCAGAGTGCCTGGTTCTGGCTTCTGATTTCTGCTTCCTGCCAGTGCAGACTCTGAGAGGCATAGTGGTGGCACATAGTGGTGCCACCTGTGTGGGAAATTGTGATCCCAGCTCTTTTCTCAGCCCCAGCCCAGCCTGAGTTGTCTGAGGCATTTGAGGAATGAACCAGCCTATGGGAGCCTTTCTCTCTTTCTCTCTTCTCTTTCCTTCTCCCTCTCCTCTGCCCCCGTGTGTGTGTGCCCCTCAAATAGATAACTTTTAAAAATGTTAATGCTCCTGCTGTTCCCACCTTTCTTAAGACATCTTTAAACTCCAGATTGTGTTGAAATTTTACTTCAAAAAGTAAATTTTGTGTTCCTTGACTTAGAGAGAATACTGTAATATATGTTGTGCTTACTTCATATTTCGTATCACAAAGACAGTGCTTTCAGTGTGATTCTTTCTGGAGATTGATGGAGGTAAATACAAATCCAAAGTCACAAATCACTTTGATTGCCACTATTTTATATGTCTAGGAAAGTGCTTAATCTTCAGGGTTTTTTTTTTTTTTTCCTTCCTCTGTGTACAGGAATGCTTTCAATTCATACTGCCAGCTCTACCTCACGCCATTGACCTTTTACGTGATGCCATTGTAAAAGTAAAGGAGGTGCATGATGAACTTGAAGATTTACCTTCACCACCACCTCCTCTTTCCCCTCCTCCCACAACCAGCCCCCATAAACAGACAGAAGACAAAGGGGTTCAGTGTGAGGAAGAGGAAGAAGAGAAGAAAGACAGTGGTGTTGCTTCAACAGAAGATAGTTCCTCATCACATATAACTGCAGCAGCCATTGCTGCTAAGGTAAGCCTGCTGAGAGAGACTCAGATCTTAAGGACCCACAGATAAATATTCTGATTTCATCCCTCTGTACCATGTGCCCCCATATATTTAACACCTCATTAGTGAATCTTAAGAAAAACCATACTGGAATAATTTCTTGTGAAGGCATTGAAGTGTGTTCTGAACTCTGAGGCATTAAAGATACTGCTGTTACTCATTGAAGTAATAGCTGCATTGATGAACAATGTGACATTTGAGAACTCTTCGAAGATGTCATTTTTGTGGACATATTAAATGTGTAATGTTTATGTGTTCAAAACATCAAACCTTCACAAATTCTTAAAGGAGCAGTAAACTGAAGTTAAAAGACCTTAGATTATTGAAGAAATGAGTTGAGAATGATTATGAAAAATTTTAAGAGACAAGGCTTTTAAATGTTAAGCAATTGTTTACTTTTCTTTAAATAAACAAATACTTAAATATTACTTGACAAAGATCACCCTGGTGATATAGAGAGGAAATGGGTATAATGTTTTGATTTTTTAGAGAAGTAATAAATATTTAATAAATAAAGCTAAAGTATTACAAATTATCTTTGGGCAATTCTGGGTGTAAATATAGTATTTGAGTAAGTTTAGTCATGTTAAAGTCACAGAACATGATTTACATTGTTATTCATAGCTATTGAAATCCACCTAGTGTGCTTTAATACCTTCAGAAAGTAGCATTTTACTTTTAGGAATGATAATTTTTCATTAATTGAAAGCCTAAGATTGAAAATTTAATTGCTACCTGAAGTAAGTCAGATAGTTTGAAATAGTGAGGGGTTTTTTTGATAACATATAGATAGAATAATAGAAAAATCAAAAGAAGTGTCCATTTAGGCAACCAATAGATGATTCCTTCATTGAAGACTAAAATTATGTTTTGTCTCCAGATCAATTCAGTGATCCGTTAAGTCCTCACTTAAGGCTAGTTATATTTGTTTTGTGTGGTTTTGTTTGATGAAATTAAGTGGTGAAATAGGTACATTTTTAAGATGTTGTATGTTCTTTCTCTTTTACTCTTAATTGAAAGAGTTAAAAGTACTCTCAGTTTCAAACTTCAGAACAAAGCTTATAGCATTTGAAATCTAAACTGATTTTGTCATTCTACATTTGGAAAATTTTGGCATTTCATTGTTCCATTTGTTCATTTTCACCTTTTCTCCTTTTCAGTCATTTTGTTTGTATTGGTTTATGTTTTTCTATCACTATATTCATAGTTGTTATGTGTTGTGCATTAGAAGCATCCATTCTACACCAGTCCTGCTGTTTTCATGGCACACGGTGAGCAGCCTATACCTGGTCTCATCAATTATTCCCATGATGCAACAGGCAGTGCAGATGAACCGGTAAGACGAGGCTTTTACGTTAATGATTTTGCAAATATATACTACTTCCTTTCTGTGGAGGTAGGCTATAACATATCATGGAAGATGTGTTGTTTTGTTGTGATGGATCTTCATCAGTGCTTACATGTGAAAGTTAAAGCTCCATTGGTTTATTCCATCAAAGAATTTAATAGAATTGCTTCTCTGCCTAAAGTACTTTACTATCATTAAGATTCTGTAGTTTGTGGCAATGAACTTTCATCACATGACCTGCTAGAAATTCATTGCTCAGAAGTTGTTTTTGGGAGGAGCAATTTCATCAGATACCTTTAAATAAATTGCCTGGCTTAATTAAGATCACTCCTTAACAGGATTACTTTGACTCTTAAAAACTAGACAGATTGATAGAGTTAATATTTAATTATTAACTTTTTTTCATGATTTTGCATCTCATTTTATGTTCTTTCACTGTGTTCTCATTACAACCATTTAGAGAACTGAATTTTGAGGCAAATTCTGTGATTCATAATCTCTAGATAAAAACTTTTGAGGATATATGTTCTTTTAGTCAGTGGCTGAATGATCATTTATGAAAGAATAAAAAAGATAAATTGACAAGTATAAATTATTAAACAGTAATAAATTTAGATCATGGATATAAAAAAAACAAATCTCAGTCTCTATTATGGATATAAAATGATAGAGATAGAAAAAAGAATAACCAGTTATACAGACAAATTTGGCTTTAAACACACAACACTCAGCATCAGTAGTCTCTTTGGAGATGACACTGCCAGATGAAGACTGTTATCCTATATTCATCAAGCCATTCATGATTGGAAATAAACAAGTTAGTCAAAGACTAAATTAAAAATTTAAGTTTTGGATGTAAAAGTATTAGTAAATTTTAGTTTATGATTAGTATGTGAATATTTATTATTAATTAATGAGAGAACTACTAAACTATTATACCAATTCAAAGAAGAATTCAGAAGACCTTAAAGACAACTAGCAATAATTATGAAGGGTAGAATGAACTCTTAAATAGATACGAATTTGTTCAAAATATATAAGGCAATAATCAGTTGCTCCTTCTCAGGACAAAATTTATTTGCATTTGTATGGATAACCATCATTACATGATTATAATCAGTTTTCTATAGCTGGAAGAGTTGTAAATTAATGAAAGATAATGAAAAGTACAGATAATCCAAAAGAGTATGTAGTCAAGACAATCTAGTAATCTTATGATCTCAGAGATAATTTTTTACCAAATTATAGCAAGAATATTACCCATATAGCCTCTTGAATTTGTTTTGCAAACACCAAGGCAACAAAATTAATTCTGTAGGAATTTCATACTATCAGATTCTACTTTTAAAGAGCTCTATTTTTCCATCCTGAGATTAGTATATTAAATCCAAGACACTTCATCATAGTTTATGCCAATTTGAGTCCCATTGCACTACTTCTGATCCAGCTCTCAGTTGATGTGCCCTAGGAAGACACCAGAAGATGTCTCATACTTGGGGCCCTACTACCCACGTGGGAGACCCAAATGGAGTTCCATGTTCCTGGCTTCTGTCTGGACCAGCCCCAGCCATTGCACCGTTGCAGTCTTTTTGGAAATGAACAACAGGATAGAGATAACTTCTTTCTGTCACTCTTTCATACAAATGAATAAACAAATTAAAGGAGGGGGAGGAAGTTCTAATTTAAGCTATAACATGGATAAACTTTGTGGACCCTATGCCAAGTGAAATGAGCCAGTCACTAAAAAATAATAATGCATGATCCCACTCATAGGAGTACTTAAGAATAGTCAAAGTTCATAGGCAGAAAAATAGAATATGAGGCACTGTAAATGTTTTTACCTCTATTTAACCATACTACAATGTATACATATTTCAAAACATATTATATATGATAAATATTTGCACTTTTTAAATTTAGACTAATTAAGTAATATTTAAAATTTTTTATTATATTTTATTTATTTGGAAGGAAGAGAGACAGAGATTCCCTATAGGCTGGTTTATTCCTCAAATGCCTACAAAAGTAGTGACTGGGCCAAGCCAAAGCCAGGAGCCAGGAACTCCATCAAAGTCTCCCGTGTGGGTGGCAGGGATGCAAGTACATGGGCCATCATCTGCTGTTTTCCCAGGGTACACATTACCAGGAAGTTGGAATTGAGAGTGGAGCTGAGACTTGAACCCAGGGATTCCAAGATGAGATCTAGGCATACCACTTAACCAGTGGTAGCTTAACCACTGCACCAGAAGCTCACCCTCCATAATTAGCTAATTTTAAAAAAAGTAAGTAAAATGGTTTCCCGAGAATGAGAATTATTAATAGGTACAGAATTTTAGTTTTACATGATGAAACAAGTTCTAGAGATGGGTGGTAGTAATGGTTGCACAACAATGTGAATATATTTAATACCACTGAAATCTGCTTTAAAAACGATTAAGATTGCAAATTTTATGAGTATTTTGCCACAATATTTTGGTTTCTTTTTTTACATTTTGTTTAAGGTATACAAACTTCATGCATTTCATATATACAAATTTAAGAACATAGTAATTCTTCCTGCTCTACCCTCCCTCCTGCATGCAGTCCCACCCTTCATCCTCCTCCCTCTTCTATTCCCATTCATATTCTTCAAAGAAATCTGTTTTTGGTTAACTATTAACTCACAAGATTAAGCCTACACTAAGTTAAGAGTTCAACAAATAGTATTAAAAAAAAAAGAAAAAAAAAAAAACTGTGTTCCTCAACAGTCAAGACAAGGACTGTTCAAAATCATCAGATCTCACAGTGTCAGTTTCGTTCCTATAGAATGAACAGATGGTATCAGAGAGAACATGGTGTTTGTCTTTTGGAGGCTGGCCTATTTCACTAAAAATAATGGATTCCAGTTGCATCCATTTTGTTGCAAATGACAGAATTTCATTTGTTTTTTTACTGCTGTGTAGTGTTCCACAGTGTATATATACCATAATTTTTTTAAAAAGATTTAATTTACTTATTTGAGAGGTAGAGTTACAGACAGTAAGAGGAAGAGACAGAGAAAGAGGTCTTCCATCCACTGATTCACTCCTCCAATGGCCACGACAGCTAGAGCTGGGCCAACCCAAAGCCAGGAGCCAGGAGCTCCTTCCAGGTCTCCCACATGCATGCAAGGGCCCAAGCACTTGAATCTTCTTCCATTGCTTTCCTAGACCATGGCAGAGAGCTAGACTGGAAGAGGAGCAAATGGGGCTAGAGCTGGTGCCCATGTGGGATGCTGGCACCACACACGGAGGATTAACCTACCATGCCACAGTGTCAGCCCATACCATAATGTCTTTATCCAGGCTTCAGTTGATGGACATTTGGGTTGATTTCAATCTTAGCTATTGTGAATTGAGCCACAATAAACATGGGTATATAGATCACTCTTTCATATGCTGATTTATTTACATTTGAGTAAAATTCCCAGAAGTGGGATGGATGGGTCATGTGATAGGATAGAGTTTTGAAGTATCTCTATGTGTTCCACAGTGGCTGCACTCACTTACCTGTTTCTCCACATCCTCTCCAGGATTGTTGCTTGTTGATTTCTGTATGAGAGCCATTCTCACTGGGGTGAGGTGAAACCTCATTGTGGTTTTGATTTACATACCTCTGATGGCTACTGATCCTGAGCATTTTTTCATGTGTCTGTTAGCCATTTGAATTTCCTCTCTTGAAGAATGCCTGTTCAAGTCCTTTGCCCATTTCTTAACTGGATTGTTTGTTTTTGTTGAATTTCTTGAGCTCTTTATAGATTCTGAATAATAATCCTTTATTGGTTGCATAGTTTGCAAATAATTTCTCCCATTCTGTCAGTTGCCTCTTCACTTTGCTGAGTATTCTTTTGCAGTGCAGAAGCTTCTCAGCTTCAGGTAATCCTGTTTGTCAATTTTGGCTTTGATTGCCTGTGCTTCTGGGGTCTTTTCCAGAAGTCTTTGCCTATGGCAATGTCTTGTAGGATTTCCCCAATGTTCTCTAATAATTTGATGGTATCAGGTCAAAAGTTTAGGTCTTTAATACATTTTTAGTGGATTTTTGTGTAAGGTATAATAATACATTTTTAGTGGATTTTTGTGTAAGGTATAATAGGGGTCTTGTTTCATACTTCTGCATGTGGAGATCTAGTTTTCTCTTCACCATTTGTTGAAGAGACTGTCCTTGCTCCAAGGATTGATTTTAGCTCCTTTGTCAAAGATAAGTTAGTTTTAGATGCATGGATAGATTTCTGGAGTTTCTGTTAGCTCCATTGGCCTACACATCTGTTTGGGTTTTTTTGTTTTTGTTTTTGTTTTTGCCAGTATGAGGCTGTTTTGATTATAACTGCCCTGTAATATGTCTTGAGATGTTGTATTGTGATGCCTCTGGCTTTGTTTTTTGTTTAGATTGTTTTAGCTATATGGGTCTCTTTTGTTTCCAAAATACTATATACTGAAAGAGCATTGACAGTTCTGCATGGACTTTCCATAAAAGATACAAGTTTTGAAATATTTATATTAATAAAATTTTAGTCATAAATTTAAGCTAAGGAAGGCTGGACTTCTCTTGATTTGACAATTCTTTGTGTACTAAAAGAATAATTTTTTGTGATTTTGCAAAAGCTCAGAAATGTTGGGGCTAGCACTATGGCATAAAAGTTAAAAAGCCTTCATGTGCAGTGCCGGCATCCCATATGGGCACTGGTTCCAGTCCCAGCTGCTCCACTTATGATCCAGCTCTCTGCTATGGCCTGAGAGAGCAGTGGAAGATGGCCCAAGTCCTTGAGCCCCTGCACCCGTGTAGGAAACCCGGAGGAAGCTCCTGGCTCCTGGCTTTGGATAGGTGCAGCTCTGGCCATTGTGGCCAATTGGGAGTGAACCAGCAGATGGAAGACCTCCCTCTCTCTCTCTCTCTCTCTCTCTCTCTCTCTCTGCCTCTTCTCTCCTCTCCTCTCCTCTCCTCTCCTCTCCTCTCCTCTCCTCTCTTTGTGT